CTATATAAGCGTATACAATATTTTATGTCATGTTCAAATTCATGACCATGCAACTTTATGATATAGTGACAGTGTTTCTCCAATGTCTGTCTACACAAGTGTCATTGTTCTGCCAAGCTGATGTCAGGCAAACTAATTTTCCTGCATAGAAAGCTTCCAAACATGTTTACTTCCTGATGATGTGTGAGGACATTTGTTGTTAGTAGCTGCAATCCATCTGGCAAAACAGTGAGTAATAGAGTTTGCAGGTGTGCGTGCATGAACGGAGCAAAAGAAAAAACAAAAAGGTAATTTGATAATGTGAGGGGGCATTTGCAGATGTCCTTTGTGTACATGTCTGATGTGCAAAAAAACAAACAAACAAAAAAAAAAACAAGCCTGGTTGACCTTTCATTTCCTTGACAGATTTGACACTTCAGTCTGTCACCACCTCCCTTTATTCAACCCCAGCTGATTATACAACACATAAGCGCACACAGATGATTGTCTTTCTACTTGCCAAAACAGAAAACGCTAAAAGATATAAACTGAAAGCTAAGGTACACGAGTTTACATCAGGGCCTAGGAGCTGATATTGATGAATGATCAGGAGGAAGCCAACAGGCACTTTTAATTTAATGGGAAGGTTTTTGGCAAGACTGATTTAAACTGTGGTTATAAATATGGGATGAAAAAGTGGAGCACAAATTATAAGTGAATCACAGACAAGCACACAAACCTACACAAGATCAAATATCTTAGGTCTTAAGAAAATAAGCCTTTTTTGTCTGGCAGCAGATGGTAGATCATTTTATTTACGTCAGTGTGTATGTATGTCTGTATGCATGTATGTGAATAAATGATGATGATTTCTTATTGAGATTTTACCACTGATTCTGTTTATCTTAATATTTTCAACTCAAACTAACAGAATAAAGCCATTTGAGGCACAGTTTCCAGTACAAAATTACTATGTCAAGTCAGGATTTCCCATTCCTAAGCATGTTATCATTTCAATCGCTTTGCATAGTATTAGAAAACAAAATCAAATATATGTTCATGTTTACTGTGTGAATTCATACAATACAGCAATATACTCCTATTGACAGGTTACATTAGAGTGCAGCACACTGAAAATGTAGTTTGGCGATTTCAGACTAGGACAGCACATAAATTGTGGTCACAAATGATCTAGAACTGATAATGTGAAGCTTCTATTTAACCTATTTAAAGAATACAAAAGTTCCTGCAACGATTACAAATAAACAGTTGCCTGTCTAGCAAGAGGTGAAGAGAGAATCCTGTAAAATTCATTGCAGCAAATTAGCAAGGTGGTGGGAGATGGCATGCTGTGTCATGTGCCCTAGAGCAACAGCTGCAGATGCAGCTTGTAACACAGTCATTATCCACACACATGCTCACTGCTGATTCACAGTCACAAGTTTTGTTTTTTTTATTTGCAATCACCACACCAATTACATTTCAGATTCATCAGAGATTTGTTACTTCGTCAGAGAGATTTTGTTTTAAATTCTAGCCTGTATCACATATCTAAAAATAAATAATAAAATATATCTATATATATATATCTCTCTCTCTCTCCATATATATGTATATGTATATGTACATATATACACACATATACACACATATACATATATACACACACACATATATACATACACATATATATACATACACACACATATATATATATATATATATGGATGAAACCTATCCAAGGAAACTATCACACTCTCTAGACTGTATGCTGCAGGTACAATATCCATCTTTTCATTAACTTCAGACTTGATAACAGGCATCAGAATCTATGGACCAAATTTATTTCAACACAATAAGTCATCATAAACTAGACATTATTTTATTTATAGTGTTTACAATCATAAGGATCACAAAGTCAGAAACCACTGAAGGGGATTTGTTTAAAAACAATTGACTGTTGAAATAGCAAGCTGTTCTGTCAATGTAGAAAAAGAAAGCAGACATCCAAACAGTATCCCTCCTTCTTTAGCAACAAGAGCAACTTAAGTAAATCCTAATGTTGCAATGTGGCAGAGAAATTCTCCCACATGAAAAGAAAGATAATTGCAGAGATCACATGAGGTCTGGACTATCAGCTATGCTAGGATGAAAAATGACATGGCCTTCAGCAAAGTCTGTCCCTCATATCAACTCATTGTTACAGGCTACAGGCTTGTAGATTACACCACTTCTCTATGATGTTCCTGTCACAAGCACAACAGGGGAGGTGTCAGGTCCTTTCAAACTCATGGTCTTACTGTGTTCCAAACCTTTTGGGAAATAGGGGATACTAAAAGACACACATCCTATAGTGGTTTGTGTTTACTGCTGTAGCCTTAAGGCATAGATACAAGGGCAGAATTTAATTATAAAGGTTGAACAGATTGAAAAAAAAAAGACAAGGAATATGACTAGCTGCCGTTTGCAATCTGGAAAAGCCAGACTGAGGCCAGCTACCAAGACACACGCCTAAAACTATACTCCGGTTTTCTGAGATCTTAGGCAATGTTCATTGCCACTGCATACAAAATAGTTGTGTCTGGTTTTAACATTTATTTATATGAATCCCTCAGCTGGAAAACTGCCAAATGCTTCTACAGTAAAAATACATAATTTAGCCTTGTTCCATAATTTGAAAAAGTCAAAATTACATTTGCAGTGCAGCTTCAATGACATGCTGCAAAAAGCCATAGCCATTCACAGTCTGGCACACTGATAAAAATCCTTTCATTCGTGAGGGCAATGTCTCGAATGAATGACTAAACTCACTCTACAAAAACATCTTAAAACCGTGATATAAAATCAGTCAGCCTTGATTTTGAGTGCATGTTTCACTGCCAAATAGATATTGGAAGAAGACTTTTTTTCTCTCCCCCCCTGCTAATTTCAAACAGTCAAGTAGACAAACACACCCACTGGTGTGACATGGCACTTTCTATTCAAGATACAATCTGTTTTCACCAAAACACACTAACAGAAAAAAAAAACCCCACCTCATTTTCAGTGGAAGGGAGATTTATTTTTGTTAAATTAGTGTGGTGAACAATGAATGTAGGGGTAACATAATTCAATTTACTACCTATAAGCTTCCTAATCTATCACACATCTAAAATTATAGAATTATAAGATTATAAATTCTATTAATGAAGTCTACAATGAATTCATGAAGTAAATACAATAATAAATGTTGAGTCAACACATTTCTAAATGTTAGACCAATATATTTTCATCTGGTCATTTTTTAATGCTAATGGTCTATCATTGTAGCCAATTTGCTAATCCTTTAATGTCAAGACATTATGCTGAGTGCAAATACATTCGCTTGACTCACTGGTATGAAGTGGGGCCACAACAAATGTTTTTGCTGCTATTTAACAAGATTTAACTCTTTAGTTACTGCTTCTACTATAGCAGGTGCTGTTTATTTGTGGATGAGGCTGTGACCATGGGTACCATTTGCATAGCAGGTCTGCCTAAGGTCCTTGCTGCCAGACTCTTCAACTGCTGTGTTGGTGCATGGTGATTAATGAAAATGAGTCTTGTAAATGGATTAGGGTGCAACAGATGTACACATTTTACATAATAACATTTTATCTCCCTAGCTGGGTAGACGCAACCTGTGTAGAGCAACACAACCATTTACAAGACACTTTGCTCCTGGACCAGATGATACAGCTTCAAACTAATTCAGGAAGCCTGAAGCCTGTTTTATCATTATTACAAGACTGTAGAATTCTCCTTCGTTCAAATGTGCTATTTGAGCAATACTGTGGTTCAGGGAAAGGCAAAAGCTGTTCGTACAGGCACCCGCTTCTTCTCCTTCCTCTCTTTTGTTTTCTATAGCCGATATTGACCTCTGACCTCTGACGGGTGTTTTCCTACAGGGCTAAATTACACTTGGGCGATCACTACAGGTCACCAGCATTATTACGCTACCAGTATTTATCTTTCAGTGAGTAGTTAATGTTTAATGCCTTGTCACAACTCTGTGTTAGTCTGTCATCTCACGACTGACCCACAAAACCCAATAGCTGGCTGCGGCCCTGGAGCTGAAGAGCAGGTGCAGCAAACAGATCTCAAGCTATCGTAGCCAATGATTAAAGCTAACGTTAGCCAGCTGATGGGCTAACTCCGTTTCATACAACATCAATACAGAGCTAGCGAACAGCTACATATGTAGCACTAAGAGAGCAGCTAACGACACTTACTCAGTGGTCCTCCAGGTCCGAGTACCTGGTCTTTGGCAGGTGGAGTACCGCTCTGTCGTTCGAAGTTGCCAGGGTTGGAGAAATAATCCCTCAGCCGGGGGAGCTCTCTGCCTGCTTCCAGCAGTTCGGTGTGAAACTCCAAGGCCGTGAGGATGTATTGGTCCCGCAATAACTGGGCAGCGATGACATCTACAGATACCCGCGTCTCGGCGCTGCCTGCCATAGCGGAGGTGGCGGCGGCCGACGCCGAGATGCCCTCACCGCTGGGGCTCGTCCGGTTGCTAGACAGCAGGAGCGACGGAGGCTCTGCGTCTGCAGGCGGAGAGAAAGGATTGCCTGGTGGTGGTCCTGGCGCCCCGTCACTCGGACTCCGCTCTGTGTCAACTGTTTCGTTAGGGCGCCGTTCGGCCTCTTCTTCAGAATCACTGAGATTAAATGGGTTCACCGACGCCATTTTTGCCCTAAAGAGATTTTTTTTTTAAAGCTAGCTAAGCTAATCAAACCCGCTGCTTCCTGAATGGATATTAGGTTAGCTAAGGTTTGGTAGGTGGAAGAGGAGGAAGAAGAAGAAATGCGAAGCTACGATTGGTCAAATGTAAGAGACGCTACTCCCAAAGCCCGCCCCTTTTATGGAATACTGGAAAAGTATTGGGTACATTTGATGTAGAGAGGAAAACTAGGCAGGGCACATTTGACAGCTGATAGCAATTGCTAGCTACTATGCTGTCAAAAAAAAGCTGCGCTCAAACCATTTCTATTAAAAATGCACTTCACTGCAAACAAAACAAATAAATAAGGGCTGCTTATTTTTTATTACATTTCGTAATAGGTAAACTTGAAGTGAATCGTTTAATTTAAACTACACTACCCACAATGCAGCTACAAACCACTACGTCAACACACAACGTCAAAAACGAGTGACAACAAGGAAGTGAATGCTCATGCTGCCTGAATTTCTTGTAGTAATCTTCTTAAACAGGGAGACATTTGGTTTTAGGTTGATCTTTTTTTAGGTTGATCTGTCTGGTTCTCTGAGCATGTTCTTGGCGATCTACGAAGTGACAATGGAAGCTAAAGCAGTGTGAATCTATGAACTTGTAGTAGTAGTAATAGTAGTAGTAGATAGGTTGATCACTCACTCATTCATTCTTTAACGGAACATTATTCCCGTTTTTATGATCAAAATCCGCAGACGTTACATGCAGGTAAGACTCTTTTCATGGCCTGTTTTTCTAAGTTACTTTCTTGTTACCAGTGGTAAGTTGGCTGGACCATTAAAATATTCCGAATTAAACATTAAAGCCTTTTTTTTAACGTTGCTTAATGGCATATGGTGAATGAAGGATTAAGCTGCTCTTAAGACCGCATACTTTGGCTTAACAAGCCTATATTATTCTGAAACCTTCTAATGCCCCTTCTATTGGCTTTAACTTCTTAATCCTGATTGCAAATGCAGGCTGTGAGTTGTCTTCATTCTATTCCATTTTTTTTTTTTTTTTCCTTCTTCTAGTCACCTCTTTTCACTTCCAAGTGAATTAAATCTACCCTGCTTGTCCTCAAGTAAACCCTCAGTTGTTCTTCGGTGTAGCTTTGGCACCCAAAATGAGGATGATCACCTTCTTTGTGATTGGGCTGACAGTCCACGTGGTCTTCTTCATCTCTATCTTTGATATCTACTTCACCTCTCCTCTGGTCCATGGCATGACACCCCACTCCACACCCCTGGAACCCCCTGCTTCCAGACTGGTGTTAGTGGTGGCCGATGGTCTCAGAGCAGACAGTCTCTTCACCCTGCTCCCTAATGGCTCATCCAGGACACCATACCTGAGGTCAGGAAACCAATACAAAGAAATAAATTTTGATGTGGAGTTTGGGTCTGTTTAATTATTCTTGTAAGGTGATGCCATTTTTACAGCATGTCTTTTCATTCCCCCTGTTTGCATAAGCATATGTGCTTCTGTTTCCATATTTCAGGAGTATAATAGAGGACAAGGGGACCTGGGGTGTGTCACACACACGTGTGCCTACCGAGTCTCGGCCCGGTCACGTTGCTCTCATTGCTGGCTTCTATGAGGATGTTAGTGCAGTTGCTAAAGGTGTGTGCATGATGGGGGTTTTTTTTGTTGTTGTTGTTTTTTACATGGTAGGAAGAGAAATGCTCAGCGACTTGGAGAGATTACTCTCTATTGTATGTGTTTCTCTGTGGCATTCTACTGTGACCATTTATGTGCTTGTTTTCAGGCTGGAAGGAAAATCCTGTAGAATTTGACTCTGTGTTTAATGAGAGCAGACACACCTGGTGCTGGGGCAGCCCTGATATCCTACCTATGTTTGCCAAAGGTACACAAGCATCACAAACAGAACCATTAATCTACACAATAGAAAAACATTAAATCACATATCTGAGCAAACATGTTTCCTTTGGTTATTTCAGGCGCTAGTGGGGACCATGTGTATACCCACACATACCCGGCAGTGGAGGAGGACTTTGCCTCCACAGATGCATCCAAGCTAGACAGCTGGGTGTTCACTCAAGTCAAAGTATGTAGTGGAAGTATTAGCATAAAAAATATTTTATGATTGATCTATTGATATTAACTACAGGTTTACCCACAAAAACACATTTTATAAAGACTGTGTTTTATGTGTATTATGTGTGTCATGTGTCATGCAGTGAAATATAACCCAACTTGGAGTCATTCCAGAATTTCATTTACAGAATTGATCCACATGGATTTCCTGAATAAGCCTAAAATTATTTAATATTTTTCAACAGTCCTTCTTTAAGTCTGCACAGTCTAACTCCACTCTGAAGGCCAGCCTATGGGAGGATAAAAATGTCTTCTTCCTGCATCTGCTTGGAATTGACACTAATGGACATGCTCACAGACCAATGTCGCAGTAAGTAGTTAACCTTGTATTAAGAGCTGCTGATTTATTTTTTTTTTTTTTTTTTTTTAACCTTTGGGCAGTTGTGCAGTGGTTCTTAGTCGTGTTAACAAATTCATCCAAATAAGCATTCTCTCATCCAGCTGCATCTTTGTCTTCTATTTTGTCTTTTTTCCCCCAGAGAATACCTAGACAATATTGGTCTAGTAGATGCAGGTGTAGCTGAAGTGGTGTCTATAATAGAGGACTTCTTCGACAATGATGGCAGAACAGCCTATGTGTTTACCTCTGACCACGGCATGACAAACTGGGGTAAACTTGTTTGTGTATCTAAATGTTTTGCTGCCTGCTAGCGAGTTTTCTATTACAGTTTTGGCATGTTTGTGTGCGTTTGTCTCCAGGTTCCCACGGTGCGGGCCATCCTTCTGAAACGCTAACCCCTTTAGTGGCGTGGGGAGCTGGGGTTCAGAAAGCCAAGGGAGTCACAGAACCCCAACCATACAATGATGGGTTCCTACAAGGTACGTTCAAACACTTTTTTTTTAAGATTTAAATTTACAACCGATACCCTCCAGTTTGTCTGTTTTACTTTGTCTAAATGATTGTCCTGGTTTGTTTCTTTTAGACTGGAAACTGGAGCATCTTCGTAGAGTCGACGTCAGTCAGGTAAAGCTCATGGAAATTTAAACTTTTTAACAATTTCCTGTCATCAGTTGTATTAAAGTGTAATATTTGTGTGTCTTCGTTGTTTGTTTGGGTTTTTTTGGCAGGCTGACATTGCTCCGCTCATGGCTTCCCTCGTTGGTGTGCCTATTCCTGTTAACTCTGTTGTAAGTCAGAGACAAAATCAGCCATTTAATGGGAAATGTTCAATAATTTTTCACGTCTTTGTTACATGTTTTGTCTGTATTTGTTTTTCAGGGCGTGTTACCTCTTCTCTACCTCAACAACAGTGAGCGGTTCATGGCTGAGAGCATGTACACTAATGCTATTCAAGTACTGGAGCAGTTCAAGGTATAACAGCATCTGCTTTGGCTAGCAAAATGCTTATCAACTATCTGTCATGTATTTTATTATTCTATATGACACTGTGATCTAAACTGATGGTAAAGCTGTGTTTTTACTGTGTGTGTTTATTTGTAGATGAAAATGATGCAGAAAAAGGAGACAACCTTATCTTTTCTCTTCACCCCATACCAGTACGTACAGTAACTAACTGATGTGTTTTTCTAACAAAAATCCAATCAGAAGAACATGAATTTGCTTTTCACCGTGGCCTGTTGTGTTTACTGTGACCTCATAGATGGTGTAAAGACAATAGATTAAAGGAGTCATTTGCAAAGAATTAATTGGCAGAAACAAAAGTATTTGTAACGTAAATGCTGTGTTCTTATATCAATCCCATTTCCAGAAAAGTTGGGATATGTTCTAAAATGTTTTTAACCTCCAAACTCTTTCATGGCATGCATTTTTAATTTCTCTTTGCTATTTGGGCTGTTTGGGACCTGATGAATGTAAAAACAAAGAATTACCAATCAATTTTATTTTTTTTTTACTGATATTTGTTTCTGAGAAAAATTAGATCCACATATGAAGACATTTGTTTTAAATTTTGATAGAACAGTAGCAGTATAACGTCCTCGTAAGTGGATATCAGGCCCTTGTAGAGCAAACTTTAGTATTTTTGTCTAGACAACCCAAAATGTGATGTCCACATATGTGGATGCCAGGTCCTAGGAAGTTAAAAAATACAAATCTGTGATATGTTAATTCACGTGAACATATATTCAAGTGACCAAAGTACAAAGATGTTGGAAGATTTTCCTGACCTACTTAATTGTTTTTTGTAAATGTACCAAAATTTGAATTTGACAGGTGCAACACAGTAAACACAAAAGTTGGGACTGAGACATATTTACTGTTGTTTTTTTTGAACTGAGTGTTGTAGTTTTCCAGTTAGAAATTTTGTTCATTTTTACTTGGTTTAACCTGCGGTCATGTTGTCTGTAGGAAATAGATCCTAACAGGCAGCGCTCTGTGCCTCAGTCAGTGGTATCTACAGATGCAGCTCGCCCTGCTGTGGTCACTGATGCTCCTCTGTATCATCACAGATCCTTTTGCATTTTTCGCTGATAGCAATCTGGATAGTTGTTTTCATCATTGGCAAAGAGAACTCAGCGCTGTTTTCCAAAAACACAGAAATGTGGATTTATCTGTGCATAGCGCACAATGACACAGTCTTTCTGTCCTTCTGAGGTGAACCCTGACATAGAGAGCTCTATGCAACTGACATTTGACTTCCTCCTTCAATCATAATACAGTTTCAAGTTGCATTAGTGGATGTGGGTCTATGTTAAGTGACAGTGGTTTTCTGAAGTACTTCTGAGCCCCGGTGGCTATATTTATATTTATATATTTATATCACTGCAGCGTGACTGTTTCTAAGGCGGTGTAGCCTGAGGGCTCAAGCTGGTTTCAGTCTTGACCTTAGTGTGAGAAATGGTTTGAATTCTCTTAATCTTTTCATAGTGGTACATACTATAGATGTCTGAAGAAATTTCTTTGCAATAGTGCACTGAGAAATCTTTTCTTTTGAAATCTGGAGCAATTCTCTCATGAATTAAGGAAATAAGGGATGAACCATAACCCACAAAGACTGAGTTTGTGGTGATTTCTAAATTTACCTTTACCCAATCAGTTACCCTGCTTAATCTGGTTCCTCTGAAGATATAAAGTTTTGGGGGGTTTTATTGCATTTTGGAAAAAATCCCAACGTTTCTGGAGACGGGGTTTGTACTTTCTCAGTAAATTCTTTTGCTGACCCATTAAAAATCAGTCAATGTGACATTTAGATTAACTTCTGAGGTTATGCAGCACGAAGGCCAAGAATGTGTCCACTAACCAAACCACATATTCATGGCCGTATTTAAATTGCACACTTTCACACACTTCATCTGTTTTGCACCCTCTTTCTTCCCAGACTCCTGACTGAGTCAAAACAAGCAGAATTCACCCAGAAGGCCCGAATACTCATTCAGCTGGAGAAGTACGAGGATGCTGTGAGTATGGGGGGGGTCTGTGGCTTTTAAATCTAATCATACTTTTACAATACGTGCAAAGCCAATTTCTAGATTTATTTTGATACTTTGATGAATTATTTAAACATTTACTGAACCTGTGTTCATAAACTAAAGTCTAATTTAAATGAACTACAGTAAATGCATTCTACATTTTCGCTACTTTCTCCATCGTATGTTTTCTTCCGCTTAAGCAACAAATTAGGTTTTTGTCCCCCTGTTTTGTCTCTTGTCAGATCTCTTTGTGCCAGTCTCTGATATCTCGCTCTCTGGAAGGCTTGGTTTACTACCACACCTACGACCGATTCTTCCTCGGTTGCAGTGTGGTGCTGGGATTTGTAGGCTGGACCTCATATGTCGTCTTAGTCATACTGAAGACTCACGCGAGTCTCAACAGACATCCTAATCTCACTAAACAGGTTAGGATATACAGTAGATTGTAATCCCTCAAGATGCCTTCCACCCAAACAAGTCTGCACAACCTGAATGTCTTGTTAAGTTGGTATTTTTCTCCTGTGTGCAGATTCCTGGCCGTAACTTGGCAAGGCTGTGCACGTGTGTGGCAGTGGTGATCACACTCTTCCTGCTTATTCAAAGAAGCCCCATAACCTACTATATTTACTGCCTGCTGCCTATCCCTGTGTGGTATTCTGTTCTGAAAGAGTAAGTGAAAGACACATTCAAAATAATGCAAACTGGATTTAAAAAATGTACAAAACAAGTTTGTTCAGATGCATTCAGTCAATTTACAATAATTTGTATATTTACTATAGTCACAGAACCCTGATATTAAAACACACGCAAAAGGATTACATCAGTCAGTGAATACAGCAGCTTTTCACTGGATCTAATTAGCCTCACACAGGCTTGTATGCGCATCTGGCTCAGGTGGAGTGAAGTGCTAATTAGATCCTTTGAACTGGCGTTTTATGCATTCATGGTTCTCCTATGTAAAAGGGATAAAGAGATGTTTTATTCTTCATCTCATCCTTTTATGACAGGAAAAAGTAATCCCATCAATGATCTATTTTTAGGTCTGGAACTCTGAGAGATTTGATTCAGACAGCCCCTTCTCTCCCACTGTGGAAATGTCTGGGCTATTTTGTGCTGGTGGCGTTTGGGATTGAGCTGCTGGTAGGTGTCTTTAAATCTGCTGTGTTAAAGGCATCCTTCTGCATAAGTGCACAAAATTTCACTTGTGTATCATTAACTGTAAGAAATAAACCTGGATGCTGCATGGCTGTTTATTTTTGCTGCCCCCAGGTGGTGAGCTTCTTCCATCGCGCCATGCTGACTGTAGGGCTGGCTGCTCTCTCTCTCTGGCCCTTCTTGTCGGGGCTTTTTGGCAAGGCTAAGGTAATGTACAGATTAGCCAGATAAAAGCAGGAAAATGTGTGTTATAGCTGTTTTTAATACCCATCCCTGTTTTGGTTATGGACAGCACTGTTTCTCCAATAATATATATATCTATATATATCTACATATATATATTTATAGATATATATATTATGAGTAAACAGAGTTACAAAAAATGCCTAATCATTAATAAGAAATGTCTAGCCATTCTAATTCTTCTTGTGTGTCTATAACTAGAGTGTTATTGGTACTGCTTGCCTAAAACAGTAGATAATTATAAAGGTAATTATTAAATATAGATACACAATGGTAAATGTGTCAAAGTGGAAGACAGCATTTCTTTTTGTCTCTGTTTCGGTGCAGTCACGCTCACTGAGCTGGCTTGTGGGCTGTCTGTGTCTAGCTGCTTTCCCCCTCATGCCTGTTGTGGGTAGAGAACCTAACATACATCTGGTGTGAGTACTTCCTTTATTTGTATATATTTATCTGAATATTTACCGCAATATCCTATCACGGAAAAAACTGAGAGCCCAATTCATGCCAGGTTAGGTAGGTGAGTTTCAGTAAATCAGAACATCTGCAAAACAGATCAGGAAGATAAAATGTGACTGGAATCGGCATCATATTAGTGATGCAAATATCCATCACAATATTCAAATATAAAACCCCAAAAAACTGTGGAGCCACGAGCATCCACCCCCAGTTAAAGGAAACTGAATAGACTTACTGTTAAAAGTTAAAGTCCCACGATGGGTACTTTCTCTGTATATAAACAGACGGGAAATTTGAAAGTGGTACATTTGAAAACGAGGAATGGTTAAACTGCTACACAATACCGTCTTTCCACAACGAGCTGTGTGTACAAACTATCCATATTTTTGAAAGTACAGTAACACATCCTGTTTGTCAACTCAGTACCTGTGCAGGTCTGCTCGCTCTTTTCACCTCAGCTTGCTACCTCTGGTCATCTCGACGGAGGACACCGCTGCACCTCGGTGACAGACCACAGTTTGTCATACAGGTGACCACAGTACATGTCACTGTGGGCATATGTGTTTTTGTGTGTGTTACTGCATTTGCTAATACTGATTAATTACCTGTCAAACCCGGCAGATGCTCCTTGTTGCTGTGTGTGCATACGTGCCATCCTTCACACACTCCAGCCTGCAACAGAAACAGGGCCTACCCCTTCTTAATCAGATCATAAGTTGGAGCACATTAGGTGGGTTGGTTGCAAGTGGCCACAAGATACTTGGGATCTAGAATGGTTTACTTTTTAAATATTGATCGCATACGTAAGCTATACCTCAAAAGACGTTAAAACATCATATCGCTGACACCCAAGTAACCTCTGACAACTCTTCTCTCTACAGCATCTTCTATATTTGTTCCTTTGCTGAGCTCAACACGACTTTTTCATCGACTCCTCAGCATATTCTTGTCTCTCACTTCCACCTACCTGCTGCTTAGCACTGGGTAGGACAACACATTGATGCTTTAGTTGTGTCTTGTGCAGAGTTGCACCACCGCAGCAAAGCTGTAAAATGATATTTCTATTTTTGTCTCCCTCACAGGTCAGAGGCTTTGTTCCCCCCTGTGTTATCCTGGTTAATGTTTGTGTGGATTAACATCGAACAGGAAGCCTTGCTTGCTCAGGGCATGTCTGGTAGGCAAGAGGTAGAGCCATTGTTTTTCCCTTTGTAATAGAAAACTTTTGCAAACCAAAAGCTTTGGGAAGCTATCATTTATGTATGTATTTAATTGTGAAGGTCATATTTTCCATTTTACTGATAAAACTCCGATTCACAACGACAGCCACTTCACAGAGCTTTATATTGTAAGGTAAAAACCATACAATCTCAGAAAGAAAACCTCAGCAGTCAACTGACATGAGGAAAGCACTCAGTAATCGTGGAAAGCAAGAACCCCCTTTTAACAGGAAGAGATGTCTGGCAGAACCAGGCTAAGGGAGAGGCTGTTTGCTATGAGAGTTTGAGGATGAGGGGAAAGAGATGAGAATGAACAGAGCTTAGAGAGAACACAGAAAGTTCAAATTGCAGGAAAGAAAAGACACAGGTCTTAAAGTCCATGTCTCATTGTGGCCGGGTTTACAGTAGAGGTGCAACGGATCACGGTTGATCCGAAATCCGAACTGATCCCACTCCACGGTTCGGTACGCACGTGATCCAAAGATTCGAAAAAGGGAAAAAAAGTATGTGTATGGTGCGCGTGGTCAGTCTGTCAAGCGGTAGTTATGGCCAGCGCTAGCGGTCCAAGTGGCAGAGCAAAGGAGTTTGCGGCATTTAAGCAGCCCTTTGCTGACCAATCCGACCGGACTAAAGCTATTACAAAAGCTACTGGGGTGTTTAGTTGTGCAAAACAAGGGGTTTAAACTGTGATGAACGTGCTTGAGCCACGCTGTGATATCTCGTTGCGCGTCCACTTCAGTGTGACAAGATCGTTCCAAGCATGTATGAGCAGGAGAAGTTTAAAGTTATGGCTGAACTGTCCCAGGCATCTTCTGTTGCTCAAACTACAAATGGGTGGACCTCCAGGGCGAAGGAAAGCCACGTGACCGTGACCGCTCGTTATATCACAGCGGAGTGGCCCTGTACTGCCCTATAGATCACATTAGATTAGATGAAACTTTATCCCTCGGGTGGGTT